TCAGAATCCCTCAAGGGTATAAAAATGATGAAGTGTTGACCCGAAGGGTAATAAATGCTAGGGTAATAAAATAACAACCGGTGGCTGGGTGGCTGATGAGCTCCCGGAAACTTTAATGACCCTGAAACGACCAATGAAACCAACGCTGTAGGGTGGGTGCTATAGTTTTAAGCCCCTTGAAATGTGATCAGGAGGATAAGCTAGACCTGGTACCTAAGCCTTTAAAGATATGAGTACAGAAACGAAACTCAGATCCGAGAGCGCCTTTGCCAAAGTGACACCCCATCCCAATTCAGCGACATTAGCAATCTTATCGTCAACCCGCCAATGGACACATCAAAGCCTTATCCATCTCATGGTAGCCCCAGCAGTGCCAAACAACAGAAGGCCCAGGCCCTCCCTGGGAACCCCCGCTGGTATCCCCAGGCCGACGACGACGGCACCGGCGGTCCGTCGCTAAGCCGCCGTGACATAATCTCTTGAGTCACGCAATCTGTTCGAGTGACCCGCTGCTGGTGGAAACGGTGTAATAATTCTGGTAGGAATTTGGTTAAAGCAATTAGAAATCGGTAGTGCTAGGTGGGTTTTGTAGTCAGGTGCCGCTTTGGGGGTTGGGACGCGAAATGGAAAACGTCTAATCTGCCGGCTTTACGGAATCGATTTATAGGATACTATTGAATCACCAATTTTCTTTAATGTAAGATATATTTATTTACATTTTTAAAGGGTTTCTATTAGATAATATAAGTTAGTGGTTACTACCAACCTGCCTTACTCCGAAACCAAATTTCAAACCACCTACTTGAACCCACTGGGGAAATCGACCGATTCCACGGCGCAAACTTCGTGGACGAACTCCTCGAGTGGCCGTAACGAGTTTATATTTGGGCGTACGGGGACCTAGAGCCTTAGCCCCACACCCCCATAGGCACATCATACCCAATTTGTCGGCTCAACAAGTGGATGGCTCAAGAAGGGCGCGAGATGATGGCGTTCCTTCACGGACCCCAAGGGAGCAATTCGCGCGAGATGGAAGGCATACGAAGGAAGTCGAGAAGAAGTGCCAGGAGAGAGGGGCTCTCACTCATCCCCTCGTTAGCTCCGGATTCATCCTCCTCCGCCTCCTTCTCAGCCGCCGGCACGGCCAGCTTCTCCTTAGGGGGTCTTGCGTGGGGGCCTAATAGGGAGGCGCTAACCCAGTAACGAGGATAATTTTCGCGGCTTTCGCGCGTTGGACTTTGGGGTAAGTTTGCAAATAGGGGTGAGTTGTGGGGGGATAAATATAGGGAAGGAAAATGGATGGGAAATCTTGGGAGGATTTGCATACAAAAGCCTCGAAATTCCATAGACGATTGTGGTCTTAAATAATACCAGGGCTGAAAAACCGCTTCGCGGCTTTTCAACCCTGGTCCCGTCTTCTCCAATGATATCCTTGGCTTTGCATAATTTTCCCGGATTCGGATGACGAAAAATGAAAACTGCTCTTGCCGTCCCTTTATATAGGCTACCGCGGCTTTCGATGCATGCTAATTTCATCCTAACAAAGTAGGGTGTCCGATTTTCCATGAAAAACTTAATTTTAATGTCGAAAACATCATATTTTGTAAAGTCTAATATGCGTGCAGCCATCTCCAGCCCATTACGCACCTAATGACGTATCGAACATACCCCTAAGTACTTCCCTTCTTGAGATACTACTGGAACACGGTGACGGAAGTTGCATGCAAATGCACACACACACACAGACACTATTTTTTATATATAGTAGGATAAAAATAATATAGACTTAAATATTTTTTCACGCTTTCGTGACGTTGATCAGCTCCTAGAGTCTCAAGGAAGATGGAAATTTTCTGCTATGGAAAAACGCGATTAGCTATAGAATTGACCACCGGCATATCAGACTAGAAACAGATATTCTAGCTTATTTAACGAAAAATACCCTGATTTTTATATTTTAGACATCACCATTTAGCAGGGGTATGCAAAGTTTAGACTGTAATGCTCGAAATCAGGCTACCCCATAGTACGATACCTAGCACAGTATCCAAAAATAAAAGCCTTGCCGGCGCTGTCGCTAATGCACATCCTAACCCTCCTTATACCACCAAAGTTACCAAGAAGTCAAACATCCCCCGCCGGATCGTTTACCAGCCCATTATAGCGCGCCCTGGTTGAGCACATAAATAGAGTGAGGCACCGCCTGGGGGGAAGATGGCGAGTACAATCTTGACAAATGTGGCCAGCCACCGGCTCGCAGTTGTTTGGCGGTGCGCGGGCCATTCGAGAGGGTAGAGGGTGCCTCCTCTACCCCCCATCGGAGGTACCACAAGAGGGGCAGCTGACAGCAATCCTACCCAGATCGCTGTAATTATGAGTGTCGAGCACCAAAGGAGGATTTCTAGCTGAAGAGAGAGGGGGCAAGAGGCGCATCCCTTATGCAAAAACTCATTTATACGTACACCCGGACACGATTAGAGAGGGCACCGCCCGGTGAGCGGATAATAAGCGGGTGCTTGAGGAAATGGAATCATAGACTGGTGGTGGTAGATATTGGAGTTTATGAATTATTGATGGAACGTTGATCGTCGACGTCGAAGCGTTGATCAGCTTTTGTAAGTATTACTTTCTCGGCTACTTGACAAACCGCTAATTAAAACGCTTCTAGAATCTTCAAAGCGTCCAGGCAGAGCATGCGGTAGAAAGCTTTGATCTGGAAAGGAGCTCATGATGCCCTACTCGGGACAATTTTTTGCATCTTAAAGTTTCTCAACTTATGTTGCAAGTTCTATAAAACATCCTTTAAAGGCCTCTGGAAAGATGGGATTGGTCAAAAAGCAAGAAGAGGTGCACCGGGCGGGGGTCGAACCAGGGTCGTCCGCTCCACAGTCCAACGCGCTACCCCCACACCAAAGGGGTCGAGTGGGTGAGGGCGGCGGAGGGGCCCCAAGTACCCTAGGGCCGAACTGGTGCACGTTATTGGGCAACAATTCAAAATAAAGCTATTTACAAATAATAATAACGAAAAAACCTACGGAAAAGCTTGCGAAGGGCAAGGAAAGTACTCCCTGAATTTCCTGAAGTGTTTTATACCCTTTCCGACGATTTTTGAACTAAAAAGCTCCCCAAAAACCTCTTTCCGCTCAGAACATGGCTGCCTTCTATCCAATCTGCCTCAAATTTTTATCACCGATGGGGATGGCTAAAAACTATTTTTATGGAAGTTTCCAGCCAAAAATATCGGTAATCAAAAAAGTTATGGCTATAAACCCGTTTTCTGGAAATCCAGTCGATGGTTTTGGGGGCCCTTACGCGATGGAAAGCGTGCATGGTTTCGCCCCGTCGGTCCCTCACCCCTGGGGACGCCCGGCCATCTTTCCAACGGTCTTTAATCGGCCAAAAAGCTGCGCAAAATACACTTGATTACGTTTTGAGTTTTTAAAGGGCTGCCGACGGCATGTGTCGATCCCCCCCTCATCAACAAATTGGCGAGTAGCCAACAGGGCAGAGAGCGCGCCCTGGGGAGAGGCGCAGAGACATTTTCTTTTCCGCGCGTAACCGATTGACTATGCCGTCGGCATCCCTTTAAGCAAAACGTTTCCCTGCGAGATGGCGCCAAAACCATTGGAATTGGAATAAAAGTCAACTTATAAAAGTTAACTTATTAACATTTGCTATCGTACCATCAACAGGAAGTTTTTTCGCAAATACCAACTCCACCTCAAAATAGCCATTGCCCAGCTGTTTGTTTCAGTTTTCGCGAAGTTAGTCATGAAATGACAGGCGACACCCGATTCTTCTCCCATTTTCGATTTCCATGCCTATTTCAACCGGTATGATACACGAATGCCTAGATTCTGATTGCTCCGACCCAATAGATTTGGAAGGCACTAAATGTTCAGCCAAGAAGGTACTTGCAGGAATTGGTTTATGACATTTAAATTAGCATCCGACCATTTTCTGTAGCTTGGTGGAGTTTCTTAAGGCAAACAATCATTTTTTCTCAATAATCGAATTATCTCAACGATCCTTATCATCAAAAATACCTGGAGTACCAATCCTCGCCGGGCTCTATTAATGTAGAGGCGTAACCCTGATAATGTGACACAGCCCGTCTTTCAAACAACCACCTATCCAGGTCTTTGACGCAAAATTAAATTTATTTATTCGGTCATGAAGTTATTTAGTCTGTTTCCACCGCGCAGAATTTATTTTGCTTAGTCACCGGTTAGTATTTTCATTTTAGCTTTTTTCAACAGGGTAAAGGTCTGTGCGGACTGCTGTTAGTCCACTAAGATTTTTATTGCATAAATAATCGATAGTTAGACCTATCGTACGCCCAGATACAAAAGTTGTTTTTCTGTCGTACGGTAAAGTGTGTACTTATACTTTTTCGTGTATTAAATAGTGTGAATATTGGGGCTATTTAATCAAATTCGAATAAAAACTAGCGTTTGATCAACGCCTTGAAATATTTTTCGCTTACGCGTTTCCCTATTTACCTAAAATGATAAGCTGAAAGATAATTTGAAATAAATAAATCAATAGTCCCTCAGAGCCCTTTACAAATTCTTCCCGAGCGAAATCTTTGTTTTCCCCTTTGCGTTCTCTCAGACTCCACAAGTTGCTGATTCGCAAAAACATTCGTCAGTTCAAGTGGATGCGTTGTTTACCTTTCCCTTATCACCCGAGTGAGCATTCGAATTTTTTGGGTTGGCGGCAGCGGATTGGGGGTGTGGTCCCGGAGCGGGCGCGTGGTTTCTGTCGGTTCGAGCCAATTGCGTGATCCAGTCTGCTGTCAGCTGTTCATAGCCCTACCTGGGTGTAGAAGAGAAGATGGCACTGACCTCTCTGAACTTATCAATTATGCTCAATGCACTTTCGCGCCAGAATTCGATCGATCCCTATTTTTGCGCCCTTCAAAAATTTTGCCCGCACTCCCGAAAGCAGATCAAATATTTCAGCCGATTCAGTGTATAGCCCATAAATTCTAGGATGCAATGGATTACTACACGATCTTCTTTGTGAACAAGGCCTATGCCTTCAGCCTGGACATTAATGCAGCCGCTGAGAACGTGCTCCGGTTGCAACATGCTATTTATAATGAAATCCAGCTGAAAGTGCACGATCAGGTATGGCCTGGAAAATGCAAGAATTTTAATGAAATTGATGTTTAGGTGATACTAACCAGCACCGGGCTTACACTTGAAGGCCACCGAAATGTTTCCGATTATAAAGGGGTTGGAACAGCGGCCAATCCGGTAGGAAACCATATAAATTTCATAATCTCAAATTTGTTCAGGCATACCTCTTTGATCGGCGATTTTCGCGTAACGAGCGAGAAGATCCTACCAGCAGCCAAGAAGTCAAACAACTGAGTCATCGTATTGATGAAGCTATTGATCAGGTTTGAAAGCAGGAATTCCAGTTAAATATCAATTCTCAAGGCGCAACGTGTCGAAAGGGAGTCCGATCCGGCGAAGCAATACCTGGATCTACCGGACCGAGCTCGAGACTGTAAATCGGCTGCCACGGCCGGGGTTGCAATGTGCGCCAGGATGATTCAAGAACATACGTTAATGGCAAATGTAAGTAAAAAATCACAAAGCCATCAACTTCCTATCGGAATTACGAATTACCATCCCTTTTCTAGGGTTGGAACGCTCTCGTCTCTAACATGGATGGCTCGGTTCAGAAAATGCGATCCAGAGCAGTCAGATTCCAAAAGAACAGGGATCGGGTAAGTACTTAGGCTGGTAAATTGGTATATATCGTGTCTTTAGATCTTCGGACTTCGGGATAAAGCCGGACCCTTGTTAGAAGATTTCCAAAATTGCCTTGATCAGCTGAAGGGCATCACACTTCCCGTCACGCTGCTTTCCAACATTGGAAAACATTATGAGGTTTGTCCATTTCGAAAACCTCTAATTTAAGTCTAGATGACCCTGCATGATTGGATTCAAAGCACCGATGCAAATGCATCCTTGGAAGAGTTGGTCGACCAGGTCAAGAGTCAATTCAAAAAGGTGGGTGTTCTTTTTGGAATTCAAAAACATGTAAATCATAGGCTGAAGAGTGGAGTTCCGAGCGGGTCACCCATGATCTGGATCGAGTCTATGAACAATCCCGTTCTGCCGATTATCGTGAGATTAAAGGGATCAACATGCGTTTGAATCAGCTCGAAAGCGTCCTGGTGAAAGCTGAAGGTATGGCGATAAACATAGTTAAAAAATTTGTTTAGATTTTGAAAAGATCATCACTGACCTTGTGGTGACTATTGTGCAGACGCCACAAAAAGTTGGACCGCAGTCCCTTGTGGTAAGTTTCATCAAGGTAATTTGAGCTCAGGAATTTCAGACAATGATGGACGATCATCGCGAAGCCATGCACAAAATCTACGAACATCTCAGGGAGTACAAGAAAATGATGACAATGATTCATCAATCCAAAATGGAGATCCTAACCAATTTGAAACAACGATTGAGTGGATGGATTGTTCAGGTAATAGTTCAGCTCGAAATTCGTAACTTCCACATTTTAGGGCTACGAAAAACTCCACTTGGCCCACAATGAGATTGTCGTCTTTGAAGAAAAATATTTGGGCTTGAAGCAGAGAATCGATTTGGTAAGCGAAAGATCGGTCGAATTACGCCGAATTTCCTTAGGTTACCCAAATCAAAGAAGCTCCAATTGTATATTCGACGGCCGTCACCGAGATCATCAGACGTTCAACCTTGCAAAAAGAATTCACTTCATGGCAGAAGACGCACAAAGAAAATTGCGGAAAGTTTTCCGCCGAAGAAGGGAAGCTGCGTACGGACTTCAGCAAGAAACTGGAAAAGTATGAAGATTCCTTTATTTCGACTAATTTTTTTTGGTCAGGCATTTTTTGCGTTGTCTGTTTCCCGGGATGACCGACGAGCTGCCTGAATTTTACATCAAAGACGTGCGACATTTTGACCAGGATCTGCCGTCAGTTGACCGAGAGTACATCTACACACTGAAGAACGTAAGGTGTCCTCAGTGAATTCAGTGGATGTGCTTAAGGAGGTGCCTTCACTTGCTGCCGTTCTGCGTGTACCGAAACCGGATGTGTATGCCCGACTTCTCGTGCCAGATCCAACAATGCAAAGTACCATGGCTGGGATGCGAAGGTTTTTTATTTGCTCTTCCGCTAATCCCATTTAGGGAGGATTCGTTCTTCACAAACGAGCAGTTCCACCCAATGCAAAACCTCAGCCGAGCTTTTCCGTCTGGCACATGGTAACTCATTAACCAACCTAACTACTTCCAACTTCCCACCGACATTTAACTGAAAATTACCTTCCAGGGACGAATTCGACCTGAGCTCTCCACGGGACATCCCCACGTTCCAAGCCCGTTCTCCTTCCATGGCTTACCTTAACCAAAGCATGTCCCTCCATTTCAAGCCAGCCCCATCACTCCAGAATCTAGAGGTACTGTAGATGTATTGAGTTGATTGTTTGATGTGTGCTTCGTTAGGAATGTCAACACGATGCATTGCCATCAGGCACCCCTAGTAGCAGCATGCCGATCCAAATCCCGGGAATGCATATGCCCCAACACCTTATTCGACAAGTATGATCGAGAATAGACTTGAAACTGTTTGGTTTAGATGAGCAAAGCTTCATCACAATTCTCGACACCCGATGACCATTTCGATGCAAAAGGGCAGCAGGAACAGTTCGCAATGGATGGCTGCACTCAAAGGAGCATCACGTTGGAACAACTCAAGCCGATCGCAGCGGAGCTTATGAAGATGAAAGAGGTGAGCTGATGCTTAGGTGATTCGGATCAAACATCACACCCACAGTTCTAATAGCATATTAACCTGTCAACTCTTTCAGGAACTAGACATGATAAAGTCCGAGATGCTGGCCGCCCGAGAGAAATTTGAAAAAGATCTCTCACCCCTGTCTGCAAATGGAGAAATCTTCTTGTCCATCCGGTCCGAGCGCACCGCACATGAGATCAAAGTGAAGCAGCTGGCTGAACAATTGGAGGTCGGACACATGAAGTGAAAAGCAATACCAATCATTTTTAGGATTTGGTGAAAGAAAAAGAGGAACTCAATGGAAAGACCTCCAGCCTGGAGTTGGAACTGTCAGAATCCAAGGAACGATGCTTCGAGCTAGAGGAAGACTTGAAAAAGAAGACCGAAAAGTTGACGGAGTAAGCGCATACTTCAATCATTTTTATTCAAATTTTAGACTTCAAGAATACAAGTCTGGCCATGAAGAACAGCTGAAAGCGGTACAAAATGAAGTCTACAAAGATCTGACCATACGCTATGAATTAGCAAAAGACGATCTCCAGCGGGAACATTCGCGCCAGATAGATGAACGCGAGGAAAAGATCCGGAATCTCCATAAGGAGCTGGAGAGGAAGAATTCTGAGATCGAACGGCTCAAGTCAGACCCAGACACGGATGGCTACCGCACACAGATCAAGAACGATATACGCCAAGAGTTGGAGAAGGAATATAAGGTACGACGGGTTGCCGTTTCTAATTACGTTCTTTATTTAGCATCGCACCGACATCATCACCAAGACCCTTCAGCAAAAATCAGAGGAAAATATGGCCAGACACAAGAAGGAAATCGAATACGACGCAAAGAAAACAATGTTGGACTTGGTGAGTGACTTTAAAAAAGCTTAATAATTGTTTTTGTTCAGCAACATCAGTTGAAATGGATTACCGAAGAACGGAATCGTCTGAAAACGGCCATGGAGGCCACTGAAGATCAAAAAGCTGCTGTTGAGAAGATCACCCAAGAAATCGAGATTGCAGCTTCGAAGGACGCTAGTGAACTTCATGGTAAGCAGTCAATTATAGTCCTAAAATCTTTATTTTAGTGTCGTCGAGCTACGGGGCTTTCTCAAGGATTTCGGTGTTGACTCAAACTGATACGCCGATCCACACCCCGGTCAATCCGTTGAGTCCTCTTATGTTGCACGATCTATCCAGCGACATGTCGACTTCACTGGAGCGTCGTGGTAGCATGCCAAGTCTCAATGTAAGTCACAGAATACAAACGGCTCACTAAAAATATGCGCTTCAGAGCAGCAATCCAATGGACCAATCCATCATGCCGGTCAACGCTAGCCAATTCTACCTGGACTCATCGCACCCTAGCCACGAAGACTTTGGACGAATTCAGTCTCCAGATCAGGTGCAATTTGGTGAAATCGCTACCGAGGATGATAGCCGGGAGATGGGTACGCAGACAAAGCTGTCGATGAAGACCGTCGAAACCATGGTGGGTCGACGGGATTCCGAGCTGTTGTAGTCGTCGCGTAGTTTATCCTTCGAAGCCATAATAACCAAATATTTTAGGTCACCATTCAAGACGTTACGGACGGGAGTACCGTATTGATTTTGTGGGATGATCGTCATCGAGCGTATGTGCTGTTCTCGTGAGTTTAATTCTTGAAGGATGAATTTGTGATTTTTAAGGTTTCTTTAGAATCAAAGTGTTTTCAGGAGCTCTCCGTTTATCCACTTTGTGAAGGAGTCTTCCCTTCGTCGGATGCAGTTGTCCCTCACAAATCCTAAGAGGACCTGGATCCTTGGCCGGGTCATTAAAGTTGACCTGTGCGTCATCAAAAAACCAGAGAACCGGTGGGTTTTCGGATGTATTAACGTCACCAAAATTTTCCTGCTTGTTCCCTAGTAAATTATTTGCATTAATCAATTTTCCGGAGAAGCGTACCTTACCGAATAATAATGACCGCCTCTCCGATCGAAATTTAATGACAAAATTTTAGCTACAAACTGCCAATCGAGGCTCGCGTCTACCGTGTCGAAGTGGAGCCCGTCCCCATCGAACCACCACCAACGTCGAGCTCTCGCTCTCGCGCTTCCACCAGCGCAAATTAGGAACCAATTTTATTTCCCATTTTTCAAATATTATCCCTATTTCCATTTGTGTCATTTTGCTCGAAGTGTCCTCCAAACCGCCTCTAACCTCGACTAGAATATTTGCCTGCTATAAATATATGCCTTTACTCCCGGACCGCCCACTCACTTCTGCAGTGCCAACTAGCTCGCTCTACCCCACTCAATGTATACTTTTTTATGCCTCAATGTACAGTACACATTACCCCACGATGATGGCTCCCTCTTTCAGGAGAACTAGTCCCATAATGTACCCTATATACAACTTATCGACTCGATACCTCGCAGTTTTTGCCATTGCCTTATCATCCGAATCGACATTTGTTTCCGTACCCAATTTTTACTTTTTTTTCTACTTTTGTATTCCCCCAGTCTTCTTTCGATTGTTGGGTGTTCCAACACGGGCGATTCCGAATTAGTTGTTGGCGATTATTAAATCTTAAAAGATTCACATTTTTCTTTCTCGTCATTTGGTGGTCAGTTATGTACAGTTGTCGTCGAATAAAGTGCATCGAAAAAAGCTTATCTTGAAAAACTAGGTGGGCACCCGTTGGAAAATTGATTTTTCTAGCTTATTCCGTTTTCAATCGCTTCTCGTTGCTGTTTTTGGGTGTTGGCTTCCGTCCAAACAGCTTTCCAGCAAAGAATGCCAAGATTTGGAAGATCTTCCTGAATTAAAATGAAATGGACAGATAGTTTAGGAACCCTTAGAATCCTAGAGATGCTTAATAAAAATGAATTCGATTAAAAAGGGTGTAAAAACTAACTTCAAAACGAAGAAAATTGTGGCAATGACTAGTAGCGTAATAGATCCAAGGAAAGCGACGACATCCACCAGGAAATATTGGAAGATGTTTAGTTTATCAGCTCCCGAGCGAGCATGAGGGACCTGAAATTAATTAAATTTGCATGCAAATAATTTTTATAACCTCGTGATGACGCTCAATAAATTCAACCCAGAAAGCAGCATGGGTCAATTCCGTATAAGGTACATCGCGTACCATATCTTGGAAGACTATCATTTCTTTCTTATAACTAAAAGCAAAATTTCACTACGACATCTATAACCGAACCTCTTCTTTTGAATCTTCTTAATGGCGGCTTTCAAGGTTGACAACTGGAGATCGCGTTTTGGCAACAGGATCCCGGCGCCTCGGGCGCTCACCCTAATTTTTTCGAGTTGGGTAGAAAGTCTCCTCATACCTCAAGATATTTTCATGATTATTTACGGTGAGGGGGATTCCGATGAGTGGCGTACCATGCCATACACTCTCAATAACACTGTTCAAGCCACCGAAAGTAATGTGAGCCTTGCACTTCTTATGGCCTAAATTGTTTTCATTGTTTTGCTTTGGATCATAATATACCAAGAAGGTCCTGCTGCGGAATGTGAGGTACCGTCAATACGTTAACCGGTAGTAGATCAATCTCAGGTCCATTATATTGCCAGACAAAACGGATATCAGGGTACGATTGGAAAGCGCCGATCAGGGCTTGCTGAAGAGTAAAATATTGCCAATGATGGCTCGTTTAGACTCTTACCTTAATAAATGAGGGAACTTTAGCCCAATCAAGTTCTAGACCAGATGAAACGACGATAATGCCTTGCTCAGCCTCATCAACAAACGTGTAGATTTCCTAAGTTTATCGGATCTCGTTAGCTTAATAGGTTAATAAATACCCCGTTCAATTCACTAGCATTTTTAGCGTGTAGGCCTCCGACAAAGTTGACCCTCGGCATAAATGGTCTGGGGAAATCGAAGATTGGTGGGTTGTTGACGAGATTGATCGAAGCATTACGCTCCAGGTCAAAGGCGCTTGGTGCGCCAGGGTAGTGTTTCTAAAACTATAATGTATTTTAGCGGTCTTAAAATACCTGGAAAACGGCGTCAATTCTGGGTTGTACGACGTGTTGATGTTTGTAAAGGGCCCCAAGGTAAGCAATAAGGTTTTGGGTCCGCTGCTTGAAATCGAGGTCATCGGTCAGCCTAAAGTAGTGGAATTACCGTAGTAATAATGTATGGTAAAAAACCCGTCTTCTTTTGACCCGAAACATACTTTGTGCCCGGAACGGGGAGATAAGATGGCGGGCTGGGCGACTGGTTGGCCCAAGCTGATTCAGGTCGCATTGAGCTCATTGACCAGTACACGAAAACGTCCTTTCTCAAACCAGCCAGCAGCAAGCCACAAGGATTCGCTTGATCATCGATAATAACAGAGTCAAACCTTCAAAGAAAGATAAAACCAGACTAATCCGCTCACTCTTCGTTAACCAGCTTATCAAAAGCTGCCTTGTTTTTAGATAAAAAGTTGTCGCAGAGCTTGGTTCCAGCCAGCCAATCGGTAGTCTTTTCGTTTTCCGCTTCATAGTCCTCTTCCCTAGGTCAGAATAAAACGTAAATAGAACATTATTACCAAATTTTTGTATGATGAGGATGGGTCTTTTCAACATATAGAGCATTAAATAACTCATTTGCGAAATCGGTTTTGTAGAACAGTTTCTTGATATCAGAATTGAGATCGACTTTGCTCTAAAGAATTTTTGATCAAACTCCCTGTGTCTTTAGTCTCACCTCCTTCGGGCCAATCTCTAACCAAGATATCTTATGACCACGTTTTGCTAATTCATTAGCAAGATGGGACATAATATAGGGATGTGAAGGATGGAGCGTGGACGGGGAAAATAAAAATTTTCCACATGTTCCAATAGACACTAGCGCTGCAAGAATACAAAATATCCGCATGGCTAGGACGTGTAGGTTCTTATGGTGGCTGGGTGCGGATGAGTTCGGGGATGTGGGTGGGGGTTTCTAAAAACAATTATAAACCGGAAACTGGGGTATTGGGGGCTGAAAGGGCTAGCCGGTGAGTTCGGGAATTGATCGAGAATGCTGGGGGAGAAGACGGTCATCCTCCCCTGAAAGGTCATTAAAAAAGGGAGGGTGGGCTATGAGCTAATTTGTTAATTGTTGGAGGCGTCAAGTGCAGAAAATAAAGAGTAATAGGCCTAACAAGGGAAGTGCACGACCGGCCCACGAGAAATCGACACGAGACATAGTCGATCTGATAGAATCGGATACGGGGATTCCGAATCTGTAATCAGAATTTGCTAAATAAAACGGAGAAAAAAGTTATGAAGCCTCAAAGTTGGCCAAATCGCCAAAAAACAGTACCTTTAAGGGCCCGTAAAAACCGGTGGAACGGAATTGAGGAGAAAAGAATTACTGCAGCTTGTTCAGCAGAAAAAGCGCTTTCGAATCAGCTGTAATATGTAGTATTTGCAAACAATTCACTGAAAAAAGTTTTTTTGGATTCACGGGCAAGGGTATGGCCTGTCAAGTTCATAGAAGAGATTTTCGCGAAATCATCGTAAACTTGAAGTAAGATAGCTCATTCGAAAGCGCTTTTTTTGCTGAACAAGATGCACTAATGGGTTGTGCCAATTTCCGTTCCACCGGTTTTTACGGGCCCTTAAAGGTACTGTTTTTGGCGATTTGGCCAACTTTGAGGCTTCATAACTTTTTTCTCCGTTTTATTTAGCAAATTCTGATTACAGATTCGGAATCCCCGTGTCCGATTCTATCAGATCCACTATGTCTCGTGTCGATTTCTCGTGGGCCGGTCGTGCACTTCCCTTGTAAGAAAAAAATGGTGTGAAGCAAAATAAACACTTGTTAACGAAAAAGCAAGCGCTTAAATCAAAAGTAATTGTGAAACCAAATCCAAATAATTCCCACCAAGTTCGAGATCACCAAGACAGAATAGGTAGCCAACCCGAGCTCAATCAATAAGTCTAACGACCTATCTTATCTACATCTAGTCTGTGACCACACCGTCCCTTGTGTTCTCTTCCTTCCCCCCTTCTGTCATACTCTATAAAATACAATTTTATCCCAAGCAATTCCACACGAATCGTTCCATAAATTCCATAATAATGTACATATGTGATATTAACAACTGGCAACTGGATGGTATGACATTTCTGAGAAAAGGTGTGGAAAACACAGTAAGAAGGGGCCCGTTTAATCGACATGGTCACGGATTGCTAGTCCCGATGTGCTTTTTGGTATTGAGAGAGATTCAAGAATGAAAGAAGATGATATGACGCCTAGCCAAAGTGATTTTTAACTCTATCTTGTAATGTTGAAGTATTCATTTGTAGTTGGCTGCCGTCATAACTGCTATTTGATGAGTGGGTGAGTGAGGGGATTGGAGAGCCTGCCAGCGACCATTTTCCCTAGAAAATTATTACTTATAATTATTTTAAAGAAGCGATTCCTACCATATGTTCGGCAATTTGAATAGTTGATAAATATGGGGTATTGTGGAGTAGATAGAAGAAATCTTCGTTAGACCTTGGCTCCGAGCCACAAATTTGGCGAGTCAAAGTTTCGAGCGAAGCACCATGCCCGACAATGAGAATATTACCTATAAAAATTAGCTCATTTACAATTTTTATGTTATTTCATACCAGTCGGACATTTTCTTATAATTTCCTGCATCAACATATAGCTCCTCTCATAATAATTGTAGAGATTCTCCTCCATTTTTAAATCCGACTCCCGCACAAACGGCGCGTAATTAGCGGTTATTGGATATCCTAAAACCATTACATTTATTTAATCCTAAAAGTATATTACCAAGCTTTGCCAATTCACTAGGAGACATCCACGATGGCCGCCCTGTTCGGCACCACTGCATCCATTCATAAAGTCCAGGTTCAATCGAAATCTGAGCCTTCGCATCACCTAGCATTTTCAAGCAAATAAGTTTCAAGTTTCACCAAATTACCTAATCCCTTCAGAATTCCAACAGCTGTTTGAACACATCTCAACGCTGATGAACAGAATACGTGATCAAAGCGAATATTTTTGTCGCGAAGCGACCTTCCTGGGAATGAGAAAGCAATTAGTATCCCTAGCCGCATACCTGTCAATTTTGATTGTAAATAGCCCATCTCGGTGAGAGGGGTATCTGTTGCGAACTTTTGCCATCCATCTTTGCGTTTTGGGACTATTCGGGGAAGGTTCACATCAAACGGGGTGTAGCTAAAAGAATGTAAGGTTTAGAAAAAAGAGAAATCCGGTAATGCAAGGGTCTTGTATTGCTTTGATACTTACCGGCCACTGCTATCAAAAGCGCGTTTCATCCAGGAAACACCGCCCTGATTAAAAACGAAATCGCATCTTTCGCCATGCCGGACAATGACTATCCGGCGGGTATGGTCCATCGAGGACCAATCTGCAAGAATGGGATGGAAATTGGGCAGGGTCGTAAGATCATATAGGGGAAAGGAGTGATGCAAGTTCGGCAAACTGTGCTATCGGACTCGGTAACTTTCAAAATCACGGGAAGATTATTTGGGGAATTTGAACTTGAGATCGTAATTTTGCGTTGTAGCGTTTCTTTAATAAAAGTATAGAAAGAAGTAGGGTCCTCTAAGCCCCATATTTGTAAATTCTTCTAGTAGTCCAAATTCTCAAATTCTTTTAGAATTACGTTAAAGTAACAACCGTATAAAATTATTCTAAATTATATTCGAATTCTAACATTAAATAAGTTACGTCATCGAGTTAACCTTCCCTTTCGTAATAAAAAAAATCGAAATAGACGAAGCCCGGGAGGCCGGGGGTGAAAACAACGTGTCTATAAGTCCGGTGTCCTCCGCCCCATCCAAAAAAGGAGACCCCGCATCCGAAGCCGATTAGCAAACACGGAGCCCAGGAATTTCTGGAAGCAATCGATATTTCAGTTAGGCCGATCGCGAGTACGGCCCCCGCAGCAAACGGATACAAAAAGTCAGGGCGCCAGTTCGCCGAATCGGCACCCAAACACAAGCACGGTCTATGCCAGGTTGTTCGGAAATACGCCAATAAATCCGGGGTGTGTATCGGCAGAAGAAAAAAAAATGGCATTTTTAGGTGTAAATAGAAATTAATTAGAATAACAGATTTTTTTTAATACGGGGAAGGGATTGGTTTGTCGAGTTTTTCAGGTTCGAGGGACGATTGATGTTAAGAAAGTAAATATAACTCAAAACACAAACACCCAAATTTAGAAAATAACCTAATCCGCCCACCCTCATCATCCCAAAAAGAAAAATTACCCCCTTAATCCGAATGTTTGCCAGCGTTCCCCCCTCTCCCGTCCCCAAAGGCAACATTTCCGTTGCCAAGGGTTATGAAGGGTCCACCAAAAATAGCTCATAACCGCATCAAAGGCGCGAAAGTAGGTAAAAAAATGCGGCCGCGATGAAGGCGAAAATGGGCGGCGGTGGGGGAAGAGAGGCTGCGACGACTTTCCGGTTTCCAGAACAGGATCGAACAACAAAAGACGCTCGATGGGAATGGAAAGTTGCCCCGGTGAATGCTAGCAGGAACAATTTGCACAATGTTCTTCCCCCCACTTAGCAGGAAGTTAGGCGTCAAAAAGTTTTGGTAGGGGCTGTATAGTCAGTAATTTTTGGGGGAGGCTAGGCCGAGTTCGTGGCGGGTAGACAACCATACGGCGTGGCGAAAGTAAACATGGGGAAAAGTTTGCAAACATGCTTAACGAAATTTCTATGGGACGGGTTTTGCTACCTTTGGTCAAAGGGGAGTTTTAAGAAAATGTAGAATGCAGAGGAGACTCAAAATTTACGGCAGAGATTTTTACAAAAGTACGAATTTAATAGCAAAATGATATCTTTGTAAAAATTTAATAGCTTCTCAGTAGTTTTTATGATCTGGCCAGCTCGTGAGGTTTCTTCCTTATCCAGAGAGACACACAGACCTAGACACTGCCTTGCCATGATTTTTTTTTCTACATAGTCGGCCATGCCCTGCCAAAAATAGTATAAAATCGCTCTTTTACGTATAAATTTACGCCCAATTTTAGGTAAATCTTAAACCCATTATAAAACCATCGAATGCGTCTATTTTTGCCGAAATATACGCGCCCCAAGTAGGTGATGTTAGGGCGGAAGCGAGTGAGTGGAGGGTGAGAATTTCGCAGAGCCCTCTGCCCCCTTCCCGAAGGGCCCGGCCCTCCGTTTCGGGCCCTCAACTATAGATAGGCTAGAGCCCGAAAACGCGAAAAAACGGGTGCTCGACAACCCGGGTTGGGGTGGAGACCCAGAAGGGAACCCCTGTGTGACCCAGTTACTCTTGGAAAATTGAGGGACACGACACGAACCGCCGCTCGACCTCTTTATTGGATCCCCTGGGAGGATCGAAGGGAAGGGCTGGGTGTTGTTGCTTGTTGTTAATTGGGCTCATTCAAGAATTGTAGATATCGAAATGTGGTGGCATATTTTTGAAGCGGCTGTAAAATAGGGATTGTATCCTTTCGGGGGATCGGGAAGCCGGAAGGGGATTTACCTTATTAATTCCAGACGGATAACAACCGTTATTGCGTTTAGTCATGACGGAATATTGGGCAGAGAATGAAAATTTATAGCAGTGTTTAAAAAAAACATAAATGGCGAAAGATTTTTGTAATAGTTCTAGATGGATAAAAATCTTAGTGATATCTCGCGATAGGGAAATATCGTTAAAAATGAATTTCCCAGGGCGGAATTGGGGTTGAAAAGGCGGGCCCGATTTATAAAGCAAATAGAATCATTTGGATCTGCACTCGACCACTCCCCCTTCAGACTAGCCCGCTAATAAATGAATCACCTAAATAGTCACCAGACAAACAGGAAACTGAGTAATAAACGGACCCTCCCTCCTCGAGAACCAGACTAGAGCCGAAATCCCACATAGAGATGGGCTGCAATGGTCGTAAGAGAGAGAGAGAGAGAATCGAACGGACGAAAAGGCTGGCTGGCGGCTGTCATGGGCTTCGATGATCTCATCCCCCGCCTCCTTTTCGCTACCGATCATCCCTCCGGCTTTTGTTGGTTTTGGCCGAGATTCGAAGGGCGAATCGTAAATTGAAGGGGCGAACATCACTCATTTTTCAAAAATAAAAACCATTATTTTGCAAAAGAAATCCTGTTTTCCGGCAAAATGCTACAACAAGAATGCTCCAGCCGGTAATTTATTCTGCATAAAATTGAGGGTTTCCTGCGGAAGCAATTGGAAATTGTCGCACCCTGAAAATAACAAAAGAATGCAAAAACTACTGGGTTTAAATTTATATACACCAGTCGATTTCCAAGAAAACTCACACGGAAGCACATTCAATCCAAGTGTCATCATCAAATTCGTTCAGAGAATCGAGGTGTTGGGGTTTAGTGGGAAAATAACTGAGCCTGATCCCCGCCCAGGAGCGACAGTGTCACCACCATGAGATCCAGTTTATATCCAGTATTTCAGTTCGGGAATGGGTCTTTCGCCCAAATGGGCAGTAAAAAACTTCAAGGCTGTGAGTACTTCATCAAAATTCTCCCGGGCGTCCTCGACTTTCGATCAGATGTTCGTTTATTGAGGCTGAAGGCCCAAGTTTTTGCTTTATATATTCCTATGTTTGCCAAAAATTAAGAAAAGTGTGTTCAAAGGTGGAAAAATTTAAAATGATCGAATGAATTTATTCATTCCGTGTCCGAATGGATTTCCGCTTTCGCCAGTAGAGCCTGGCAAATTTCATTCAGCTCCATGCATTCTTTTCTCTAAAAAGGTTGAATAGTTTTGGAAGTAACGACGCTACCTTAATTTCTAGCTGCTGCAGAGTGGTGCTCAACTGGAGTTCGGTCTTTTTCAATTTTGCTCGAAGCGTAATTGTATCATCCTCACTTTTTCGCTCCAAAGATGCAATACATTCATTTGCTCTAGAAATATCTTAGCTTTCTTTAGGTTTCTCTTACTGATTCAGTCTTTCCGTCGCTTGATCAACCATCTTCATATATTTTTCCTGCCCCGTAGCAATTTTCTCTTTCAGCGTCGATTCTATTTCACGAAGTTGAGCATTATCCTAAAAAGTCAATAATTATAAGAAATCTTTTTCTCCTACCTCTTTGAGGTCTTTGTTCAAATTCTTCAATTTATCATACATGTTGAACATATTTTTATAGGCATCATGCACCGTTCGCAACTCCATTTCCAGTTGATTTTTCTCCAGCTTTAGAAACCGGGTATCTTCTGGCGTCATCATAGTTGAGGCCGTCATTTGGGACAGCTGCGGAGCTCTTGCACCAAAGAACTCAATTTTCTTTTTCATCTCATCAAGGTTCATGCTCAGGCATTGCTGATCCGCTTCCGCTTGTTCTTTTTGGGCTTGAATCTGTTTGGCACAGTCTTTTCGGGTCTAAGGTGAAGGTTATATAGAAATGATGGTGCCATACCTTATCCAATTTCGCGATGTTATCTTTTTCCATTTTCGAGACAAGTTGAGACATTCGTTTTTCAAGTTCATCGAGACTTATCGGATTGTCGGCCTAATTTTAAGAGTTATGGCTTATAATGCATAAAATCGAATTACCGTTCTTGCAGCGGCAAAGGTTTGTTTCACTTCCTGCCCAGCAACGGACATTACAGTGACGGTGTGCTGTCTAGATCTTGGGGCAGTTCCGTTTTCATGCCTGAAAGAGTCATAAATTTGAAAAAAACGGGGATTTTATTTACCTTTGGCCAGCTGGCTCGGCGGGCCGTGGATGCGCCGATGAGGCTGTAGTCGGCATAGCAATTTTTGTTTTCTAAATCTGGTTGTTTAGGAGAAGAAATTGTAGCTTACATCATCTGCATGGCTTGTTTTCTTCATAGTATCCGGGGCCATATCCAGCGGTGGTAATTCAATCACCGGCTAAAGGTGGTATTTGCAGGGTGGGGTTGTGGGAACTAACCGATTCTTTTGGTGGTTTTTTGGGTTCTTCGGTTGTTACGGATACGGAATCTAAAATAATAATTAGAAAAATAAAGGTTTGATTTTTTACTGATAACTGGTAGATTGCGAGTTTGGCTGTGAGGCCGGATGATAGTTTGTTGGACTGGAGATCTGAAATAAAGACGAAATTTCGAGGGTACAACCGTAATTATGAATTCAAATGTTCTAATATTCGGATGTATTTGAAAGAATATAATCTTTTTATGGTACTTTGGAACCAGGTAATTTCTACGGGATTTTTTTTATACTATTAAAAGCTATTTTCTCTCTAAAGAGTTAAATATTGACTCAAAATCCTCCCATCCAATAAAAATCCGGGTCAAAACATATGAGTAGCTGGATGGGAGTGCTGAAGTGGAAGTGCGGGAGAGCAAGGCCTTTTCCCCCCTTTTCCACCCTTTCTGGGCCAATGCGCAAATGTGGACTGGCGGAGGCGAGGTTTTCCGAGCAGCATTGCGAAATTGGCTCGTCAATTTATTGAAACCACCGACCAACGAGTCACCAGATGTCGAAAGGATATTAATCCCTAGGGAACACCAGAATAAACACAGATTTACACATTTCCCTCTCAAAATCCGCACCAAAAAGGTGCCGAAAAACCTGGATTAGTTAACTTACAACAATGCGCGGGCCCTGTCAATAATAGGTAATTTTGAGCAGAACATTAGCGGCAGCGTGCCAAGGGGGTTTTCAGGGATAAAATTAATCTCGGGGAAGGGTCAATATCCTATAGAATTGACGAACAAAAGGGGTCGTTTAATCCGGGGAATGCGGTGACAAGCACAAAGCGTTTCTTAGGGAAAATCAGGCTTTCCATAGGCGCTTTACATAGCTTCAAGCCGTTTAAATATATCATAATTGTGCAAGCAGTGGAAGGAAATAAACATGAGTCTTGGAAAAATGGCTTAATGTCAAAAACTTTTGGTAAATCAGTTCGAAAAAGAAAAATGCTGAAAAGAATGCAACTATAAACCTAGTCGCGGGCGGGTTTTTGTTGGTGTATTGGCTCGTCGGAAGGGACTAGGGCTTTTTAAGGAAGCGGAGGATCGATACGAGGGACCCACAAAGCCCCCCCCAACAACTCCTATTAGGGCCAAAAGGATGGGGGGCCCGGGCCATGGCCCACCCTTTAATGGTTGATGTCCTATGGATAGGGTGTCGGTTTGGGCATTACGAATAGATACGATTTGCATGAAACGCGGTGCGAATTCGGGTGCGTGAATATCAACAATTTTTCGATTAAAAAAGGAGGATTAAGGCGTTGCCTGTAATCGTATGGCATAGATAAAGATAAAAATACCAAATAAAGACTAAAAACTACCTTTGAAAAGTACCTGGACCATCATCACAATCGTCCGAACCGGAATCCATCAAATTTTCGGGCACCACAAAAATTCAGAAGCCCCGCGTAGTAGAAGTCTCTCTCTCACTCCTCTACCCGTAATCCTGACAGAACAATGTCGAGATGCCCGAATTCACAGATGATAAGCCGAGCAGAAAATCGATTAGGGAGAGCGAGATTTTGCGTGAGTGTGCCATTGTGCAAGGATAATTACCTGCTATTCGCGAGTCAGTGCCTGTGTGTATGTATTTATGTGTATGTGTCGCTGTGTGTGCGTGTGGGTGCCAATATGATGGGCGTAAAGAATTTGCGAGGCGGCGAAAGCCAGTCCTTATAGCTTTCTATTTGCGCTGGAATTCACGAGGGGGGAATTGGTTCTAAATTCGAGAAGAGATGGAAAAACATTGAAGTGGTGGATCGGTTTTGAGGAGGAGTTTTTGAAAAAGGCACGTGTGAAAGCCTTATCAGAGTAAATATACGGGAAGAAAGGAAGTTGAAGCACAAAAAAGTATCGCCTACGCTTGGAAGGGGCCCTGGGAACGGGTGTCCGCCACAAAAAGTATGCGCATTTTTATTGGCGAATTATTGAACGCAGAGTACTGGAGTGATTTTATAGAAAACTTTTACGAAAAGACTATAGGTTGGGTAAAAAGGATAATTTGTGTGGTCGTACGCCTAAAATGGGTTGGAAGGAGTGCATTCAGCGAGACGGGGCGCGGGCTGCCTGGTAACCTGACACTTCTGTGGCTCGCAGCCGGAAACTCGCGTAGTTTTACCTTGGGAGCATGGATTTCGCACCGGGCTTCTTGTCTCTAGTTCACAGTCGTAAAAAGGTCATTCACTCGGTCAACATGTAATTGCCTTAATTTTTAACCCAGCGGAAGTGAGTCCCGGACGGACGTACGATAAAAAGCCTACCGTAATTACCACTTTTTCCCGACTTTCGCCGGATGGCAGGAAATTGAATTAAAAAAAAAACACTCCGCATTTAAAGCGTAATTGCTCGACTTGTGGGTGGCGATATGAGACCAATCAGCACAGACAGACTCGCGAAAAATTAAATTATTACCGATCTCGTGTTTTGTTCTTGGCCGCTTGCGCACCCATCTTCTTGCTCCTGGAATGGAGGTCGATTGGATTACGGCGGAAATTGAATACGATGGCGTTTTGGATATAAATACAGTAGATGAGGGCTCGGAGATCAGTTGGGCTTTCCAAGAAACCTTTTTTTGATAGATTACATTACCTTAAAAGTTAATTAAACGGCGATACTACAGTCGGTATCTATATTTTCTGTGCTGAATTTTGATCACCATTTGATATTTGCGCAGGTGCATTCGAGCCACAATTATATCGATCCAGCTTTGAGTAGTACGAGCGAAATAAGCTGAAAAATATACCTTTCAAAAGCAGATAGCGTAGATCAGCTGGAAAATCGCAATCAGTCTGCTAGCCAATCGCGAAGCTCGCAGTGTATTCAAGCGTGACCTATAAATCATCATCCCCGTATCATTTCCCTGCGCAAAATTCGGGCGTTGGGGGGCTGGAGCTTGAGGAAAGCCTCGATTTTATCGGGAGTGTACGGCGAAAACTTCTTTACGATCAAAATGGACGGGGGCGGTCGCAAAAGTTGGACAGCGATAAGCATCTTATTGCAACGTCGAGGTTAGTAGTGGTTTTGAAGGCTGAACATGGGGATGTATCAAGGCATAACCCGCATCAAAACCTGCTTTTGTCGTCTGGCATGTGTGAGTTGATATTTATTAATATATAAAACGTTTTTAAAGCTATAAACGATTTATTAGAGAATTCATTAACTTTTTACTTTTTAATACTTTCCATATAATTTTTGGTCGTTACTTTCCCTTCAATTATAGCCTTGTTTCACTCACTAGAATGATTTTAGTGCTATGTTTAGATTTTAAATTCAGCTTTCTCATATCCCATATTTCTTGACATCACATGCCCCGCGCCTAAAAATAGCACCAAATTATCCAAAACCGGCAAATTCACCTCAAAATAGCATCATTAGCCTTAAATATTGCCATGGGGCTGCGTACACGGCTGAATTTAAGGCCTAGGCCCTGCACGTACCCATATTTCCAGTATCCCATTTTCATAAAACTACCGTAGCCCCCCACAAACCGACCTTTGTAGCCAATGGTACACAATAGCTGTATCCATCGCAAAAAATTTGGTTACACCTGCAATTCGGTACAATTGTTCTATGCTTAACGCCCCCACACCAGACCTTTAAACAACAGCCTTTTTACAAAATAATAGACATTAATGAGAGGGGCGTTATGACCGCTTATTGTTCATCGGCGAGTGGGTGTTGATGAGCCTGTACATAAAAGCCATAAGAAGCGGGGGTTTCCCTACGCAATCTGTTTTGCGCACCTTCTCTTCAGTCTAGACATTTCTACCTCTTCCAGATGACTCTTCTCCGTCGAGTGCTATTTTTTCTATTTCTGCTCCTGACAATTCCTACAGTATGCTCGTTCTGGAGGAGCCCAATGAATATCAAGTCTGAGAGTAAGGGCTTTATTTTTAGTTTTGATGGTATTTAGCGGCTTACGTAAAACTACCTTAAAATCGTCAGGTTAGACTGATTTAACACAATGGACTCCGGGGCAAGATTAATAGAATTCGTTTTTAGCACCTCCTGAGGATTTCTTGACGCCAGAAATGGAAGCCCGAATCTTGCGCCGATTGTGGAAAGACCCGTATCAACTCGGTAAGCGGAACAGCAGTTTTTATTGAAGCCAGAATCGGGTGTGCAATAACAATTATTTTTCTAGGAGGTGGCTCGCGCCCGCTGTGGGGCTAGTGGTATGCGCAAACAAGGAACCGATCTAATAAAAACGACAGCATTGATGTATCAAACGAATAAACCTTAATTGTTGGTCTCAGTTCCGGGGAGAGTCTCGTTGTTGTCGGCATTCAATTTGTCGACGCCGAATTTGGCGCGAAGATGCTTCATCATCGTGTCATGCCACTCGGAGATGGCTTGATTACCACGCTCGATGCTCGCATTTTGGGCGTTGACAACCTAGGAAAACAGCATTGGTTTTTAAGGCATTGTTACCATTTCTAAGGTTCGGTCACTTTTCTCTTGCGCGGAGGCCGGGTCTTCCTGGCGGAGACCTAGGCTAAAGATTAGTATAATGACTTATTAACCTACCCGCCATAGCCATCAATTTGTTTTCCTCATCAGCATATCCAAATTGATAGAAAGCAGTGACAAACACCAATAAAATTAGGTATTTCATGTTCGGGTGCAGAAGTATGGAATGATGGGCATGCTGGGTTGGCGCTGAATTTTGGCAGGGTTTCAAAAGCTCAATAATTGGGCGCAACCTGGGATTACACGGGGGTTTTTTTACTGGTTGACCATGCTCACCGGAATAACAAATGTTAACTAGAGTATTAGGCATTTTAAAGTGAGAATAATCCAGTGAAGAGATAAACATAAATCAAAACCAACGTACGCCAGCGTAAAACCACCTTTTAAAAATGTCTCACGACCTCCAACGTGATAAACCCAAAAGATCCGCATCCACCTCTGAACCTGATTTCAGACGTTCCCTGATCTTGCGCACGCACACACCATAAGACGCCTCCAATATCATTTCCGTTCCGAAAATGCGGCACATCGCGACAATTTGCGCGTTCTTTAGAATTTTATTCAGCGACCCCATGAATTGGCCACTTTCCGCGACGAGAATTCCCTAGCCCAAGGGGGCACCTCCCAGCAATTTTGCCGCAAGCTCGCGTGTGTTCTTTATTTGGGCCCTAGTGTTGGTTTTATTTGCAAGGAAGGATCGCAATGTCCTTTGATGTTATCTCCGGATGATCTCCGGCAATTAAAAAAATCTAGATTGGCCGGCTTTGCGTATAGGTTTTTCATATCCACGTGACTCTGATGAATACCCAATCAGAGTTTTGGAAGAGGACCCGAAAGGCAAAACACCAATTTTGCAGACAGCAACGCCACTTGCTCTGTGCATCTATCCAGGAAATGAGTTCCTTTCACCCCTTCCACATGCCTCCAAATCATGCACTTAAACCCCTGCATCCTTATTCATTTTGTACGAGTGTCCCAAGACGCTTTCTTTCCGCCCTTCTTCCCATTCCGTTTAATTGAATTCCTCAAAAATACGGCGCCTGCACGTGTTACCCCGAATGTTTACACGCCGTCCGGGGAAACGAAGATTTTAATGGACTTTTCGTGCAAAATCCGGTGAAAACAGCAAACAGTTGTTGGAATTTAGACGCCACAATGCAAGGTTTGCCTTTTCACTGCTACCAAACCCCCCATATGCTCTCAAAGAAAGTGGGCGAGGAATGAAAATAGAGGACTGTTACTCAGTTTCCCCGAAAACCTAGCAGCGGGTCTATAGCGAAAAATTGGAAATTCGAGGTTTGTTTGCCGATACGGCTGCCACTGCCACCCCAAACAGTGAACGCCAAATTTTAGTGGCGCCTTTTTGCGTGGGGCCATGGCCATTTCGATTGCTGAATCGGGGCTCACCCATATTTTATTTGATTTTTCGTCTGATTGGGTTGTCAACAAATATTTTGGCAAGTTTCAATTAGCTGCTGGTTTTTCGTTATTTTTCTCCTTATTTTAACGCAGATTTGGACCTAATTTGACGGATTGCTGCTTGTTTTTGGGGGGTCGAGGCACACAATCCAACACCAGCCTTTTGCCCTCGGCCTTAATCACGTTCTATTTAAAAAAAATGCAGCCGCGTTGATTGATTTGTGGATTCTTACGGGCAGACGGCCTTTAGATGACGGTTGGCCGGGTTGACCTAGCGTTTTGCATTGGTCATATCAACCTAGAAGGTGGAGGGCACGAGGCCCTCCTTGGGGAATCGTTTGCAGCTCTTTCCCTCGGCTTTGCTTAGCCCCAAACCCAAAGCGGAAGTTATCCTCTCTTCCCACCCCGGTTCGGGATGCTTTCAATAGACTTGTCTCTTGCAGTAATCAGTCTATAAAACTTTCGTCGGCTTCTTTGCCCTGAGATTTTGCGCCACGTAAGATCTGGGGGCCTTCCGACTTCTTCTTTCCGCCGCCCCATCCTAACTAAGCCAATAAAGAACACGTCTATGCCGTCGGGGATGGCAAAAAAGTTACTCGACCGCCCACACGTTAGTCGCATTTTCACGTTATACTCCCCCCGAAAAGCCGTTGACCCAGTTTTTAAGACCCATTTAACCAAAACCCAAAGGCTTTGCGTGTTTTGGTCGTTTTAACTGGCCGAACTCACAAAAATTGCCCCCACCCATAGAGCCAAGTCACTGGAACCAACTTTTTAAAACCTGCAAGATGCGTGCAAATTCTTTTTGGACGGCTAGGTTTCAGCGGGGCTGCACGCTGATTGTCCCAAAAAACTCGAGAGCCCACTTTAGGAATTAAATTTCTGGGGGCTTCAAGCTGTCAGAAGCAGGTCCTTGTTCCCTGGTGGTAACTCGCATTTCAGTGGAACGTCGTCCGCAGATGTTTCTTTGGCTAAGCCCTTCATTTCGGATCCTGGTTCATCCCCTTTTGGCTGGGCTGGGCCCCGGAGAGGCTTTTCCCATTTCCTTGGATAAATAATTCCATCTGACTTTGTTCGCCCTTCATTTGAAACGGGGTCGACTCGAGAGAATTTCGAGTAGATGAAAAGCAACACCGTTGAGTGTAGTTTTCGTACTTTATTGGTCGCAAAGCAGGGGTTCTTTGGTGTTCACGCCTACTGAATGTCAGCATGTCGGCACTTTACCACTTTGTAATTGCTTCGGCCAGCCCTAGGTGCCAAAAATACGCGGCTTCTCTGCCCACCCCCACTGTCTAGTAGATGTGGAATTTAGTAACTTTGAATTCATTGCGCTTGTTTACCATTGATTACCAAAATATAAACTACTCAATATAAAAGTGTTCAAATCCTATTTTTTTCAGACTGTTTACCTACAGGGAATTCCTCGACTATCGCAATATGATTCCGCGAGGAATCACGAATCGTAGCGGATTCGCGAGTCAGCCGAATATATTCTCTCATGTGAGGCATTCGTTTCAAAAATCGAAAACCTGAATTCAGAATTTCGCCGCCAGCCAGATCATGTCGGACACGAATCTATTTTTAGTATTATTGCTGCTTCTATTGATCGGTTGTCTTCTAGTGTTGGTCATCCGGTAAGAAACTTAATAATGACTAGATTAACTGTAATAATTTATAGTCTCTATCTGCTGAAACGCCCCAGACAAATCTTCTATACGGATGGCGTTTCCGTTGGAACACCACCACACGGTGTCCAAATGTATAGCTTCCAGAAAAATGAAGCTGGACTACCATGCTATATCAACAAGGCTTACCACCATCAAGATCACGTTATCTAGGTTCCGTTTTCTGTCGTAATTATTGCATATTTCCTCTGCGTATTGCTGTAAATTTGAAAGCAATGCTTAACTGCATTTGAATATCCTGAATCAAACCTCTATACGCTAACCGCCGCTGTTCTGTCAATGGAAAGAAATTAATTTTTTGGGTTGCGGGTACTTTCCATTTTGAATAAATGATTCGGTTTGCACAAGGTGACATTAAAATTAAAAGGCACCGACAAGAAGGCTTTTAACGGGGCAGCCGGGGGCAGGAAGGTGTCTTCTCGTGGTGTAATGTTTTCAGGTGACGCGTGGCTTTGGCTAAAAGGACGATGGGCTCTGCCAGCCTTCAAATTTTGAAGCTGTTTTCAAGTATTTGTATAACCCCGGCGAAGTTTTAGCACCGAGTGCCACTTAGTGAAAAGTGAACCAGTGAAAAACACTTAACTAGTCGCATCCGGGTAGATTATAAGGAGGGCCGTAAGGGGTTTGTGGTGGGATGAATCGACGTGAGGGGGTGTCTGGCTAGGCATAATGAGTGCTAATCTTGACTCATCTCTGGGTCCATTCGTCCGGATCCTTGCCCTCACAACACATGCCATATGCCATCTCGGGGCACCGTTAGGTCTCCCACTATTCATTTGTGGGCCCCTAAACGGTCGGGCGATATTTCAGGTCTTTCAACGAGTCGCTGCGATTATCCCATCCACCTGCGCTTTTCATTTTGGGTATTGGTGTAGGTCTAGGAGTAATGTCGAATTGCTTGACATCAATTGCCTGCCTCCATCTTTCTCCCCCCCCCCTCCCCCCTCCCCCCCCTCCTGACGCACCCAAACCCATGACCGTGTGGCCTAATGGATAAGGCGCCGGACTTCGGATCCGAAGATTGCAGGTTCGAGTCCTGTCACGCTCGAAAATTTTTGCTGTTTGGTTTTATTGCAAACCAAGTCACAAACAAGGCTCGGTTGTTTTGGTGACAATATTGAAATATCAGTGAGCCAAAGGTTTGATGAGGCTTAGTAGGATTCTTTCCATTTATTTCGTACTGAGTAACCATGCTATATACCGCCCGTCCTATAACCTCCATTTCTGGAAGAGCAAAGACGCACCCCCTCGTTAATATTTGCGATTTGAGGCTACTTGCCCGGTCGGCAAACAGAAAAATATGAAAGAGGATGCGAATTCTTTCGGGGCGTATGCCGTCGGGGCACTTCCGTGTGTATGCCAAGGGGAGCCGATCCATATTGTCATCGGGTCCCTGGACAGTGCGCGGCAGCTCGTTTGCATAAATGACTGATGCGGTTTTTCATGTTCGGGCCCCCAATCTCTTGGGGGCACAATATTTTTTTGATTTGCATAAGCTGTGCCGCGAGGTTGGGTACTTGATTTATTATTGACCAGTGGAAAAAGACCGCTTCGCGGCCCTTTTCCCCTGGACCCCGTCTAGGAATAATCAATTCCCTTTCCTTTTATCGAAGCCTGCGGCGCAAGAGCCTCACTCAAGGAACCATTCTGTGACCTGCGGCGCCAGAGCCAGCACTGGGCCAGAATCTTTGAGCCTGCGGCGCTAGCTACTGGTTTTTTGTCCAGGATTTGGCCTGCGGCGCGAGAGCCTGGGTCAAGGAACCATCGTTGGCCTGCGGCGCCAGAGCCTGGGCCAAGTACCTTTTCTTTGGCGTCCGGCGCTAGAGCCTGGGCCCGGTCCTAAAACTCGCACACCGAGAGCCTAGAAATATGTTTCATTGTTGAACTACCAAAAAGCAAAAATTTAAATTCCGCGCGGATTCGAACCCGGACCATGCGTTTGTTAGACCGGGCGCCAATCCAATACACCAAGGGGACGCGACGATTGACAGCGGGAAAGGCCTCTTCTGTCCTGGGGGCCGCCCCATCCCGGGAGAGAGGACTTCTGATAACTTTACAAAATTCTCTTTTTGAGTCTGAATGCGCCGAAAATTTGTAAAAATAATACGATGCGCGTGATCCCCACTATCGAATACATAAGTGGACAAAATTACAGCCCAAAATTCCATCTGGGCGTCGAGTTATGGCCCGGACACCACGGGACTGTGGCCATTTTATTAAGGACCTTCTAGTAAATTGCTCATAAAAACTTTATTTTAAGGAATTTGGCAAAATCCATAAAATAGTATCGGGAAAATTGTTTCTTCCATTCACCCTCCAAAAATCAGCGCCCAACTCCTCTTAGCGGCCGAGAAAACCTCCGGACATACTTTTTTTCAGCGAAATGTTAAGGATTTTTCACTATTTTGGTTGTAAAATCGTCAAATGAAGGAATTTCGCAAAACAAAAAAATGCATCACTGACAAATGTGTTACTCCACCTCCGTGCCAAAAATCAGCTCGAAATTCGGCCTGACGGCCGAGAAATCGGCTGTACAGAAAACAGACATACTTTTCTCGCTTATAGGATAGGACCAGCGGCTCGTCTAGTAATTAGCTTCTTCAGTTTATTTGTCTGAAGCTTTAGAGGCTCAATTTTTTATGGTCAATGACAGAGGCAAGCTCGGCGAGCTCCGAATGTTATTCCCAGGTAGCTAAATGAGATTATTCCCAGATGACGAAAAAAACTGGTTTCCAGGTTTATGAATTTTGACTTGGTAAGAGGTGGAAGGTCAGCGGCACCCTGGGGCCCTGTGCTCCCTCTGTCCTTCTCTCTCTCCCGCTGGCAGCTCCCTATGGCCGTGTGGCCCAATGGATAAGGCGTCGGACTTCGGATCCGAAGATTGCAGGTTCGAGTCCTGCCACGGTCAAAACTTTTTGCCTTTTGGCGATTGATTGGGTAGGGTGTTGTATAAGCTTTCTATATAGTTTTTACACATCCAATTCCATTCCAAATGACTGACTGAATTTACTTTCGGTCCAGGTTGGACCGAAAGTCCTTACAATTGAACTTCGGATATTTCATTCTAAACATTTTGTGGCCCGCTACGATTGTTTCTTTTTCAATATATTTGTGGAATTCAAATTACAAGCCCTTACCCCCGGGGATTTCTATTATTTTCTTTGTTGTTCTCTGCGGGGTATCACATGTCAGACCCTGCTTCGGAAGCGCCATAAACTTACGATAGTAATGGGACAGTATCAAGATAATCAGTTCTCGCCAATAAGTTAATGCTGAAATAGCCAAAAAAAAAAGTAAATCGGAGCGGGTTGGCGAACAGCGGGTCGAGGCGATGTTCCAATCTCTCGTAAAACAAACTAAAAAAATTCTAGAGGATACGCCTTGGGATTCCGTCCCATGAACCGAATAGAGCATTTAATTTTGCATACGTTTAGCGCAAACACATTTTATTTCTGTACTGTTTTCTGGAAAGAAAATATAAAAAGTCAAAAATAATATAAAAACTTTCTATTCTAATCTAAAATTACACACCGATATTGCCTTATCGCAAGCGGGTTTTTCTCTATCTTTAAAAATTGCTCCTCTACTATGAAATATCAATGTTACACGAACCATTAGATACCATTATATATATTCGATACCAGATACATGTTCAGCCATCATCAGACGAAATAGACGCATTTTCGACCACTTTAATACACCACAGACCACCGACACCCTGGGCCGGCGGCTCCCTCTGTCCTTCTCTCTCCTTCCCCGGCAGCACCCCATGGCCGTGTGGCCCAATGGATAAGGCGTCGGACTTCGGATCCGAAGATTGCAGGTTCGAGTCCTGCCACGGTCAAAACTTTTTGCTTTTTGGTGATTGTTTGGGTAAGGTGTTGTATAAGCTTGCTGTATAGATTTTACAGCGCCAGTTCCCTTCCAAAGGCCTTTTAACCCTTTTCTGGCTTAGAACTAGTCCCCAGTTTGCTGTCATCGAGGCGGCCTTATCCCATGCCGGTTTTTTTTTGCTGGCTGGTTCCCATATTCCTATACTATAAGACATAGATAGTTCTATTCACAAATTATTAGATACCATAGGTATTTTTAGCGATATGACGATGAAATTGGCGCCTTTTCGACTACTGCAATATTAGGTATCGACATTTTCGTGTCGGTGGGCCGTTTTTGGCTGCCGGATACGCCAGATAGTTGGTTGACTGGACGAATAATGTGCCTCGTATGCTGTACAAAACGGCCGGGGCCGGAATTGAAAGTGTCGCCACGCCGCATCCCCTCTCGTTGATGTTTTTGGTGGTCGGGAGGGAATTTCCTTTGAGATGGCCAGCGGGCCTTGGAGCGGGTGAAGACTCACACCCGTTCTATCCGTAGGCTCCTAATAACTGTCGGGGGGCTGTCGGTCTGTGTACATGCTCGCACCATGAATGCGTATTACTCACGCGGCGCACGAATGGTCGGAGCCTCTTTTGGTGAGGCGGCTGGTCCAATATTAGGAGGTTGTTCATAGCGGGTTAATCTTTTGATCGTTTATGATTCATGGGTATTTTGCAGACATGGCAATTCCGATCGGCCGAGCCGCGCGGCCGGGCCGGCGGCCTAATTTCCATAAAAAACGCGGCCCCCTACGAGCCGCAGTAATTAGTTACTTCCGGAAATGCGGCTTCGCGGCCGAGCCGCATTTTCATCGCGGCTCGGGCGGGCCGCCGCGGCCAAGCCGCAAACCGGAAGTGGCTCATTTACATATCGAGAAACCGCGAATTTCATGCCAAATCGGAATGGAAATGAGAAAATTATGTTTGTCGGGTATGGATATTCCTCGCTAGCAGGCTAAATACGCATTGCATCTCTGATTTACGTGCCGGAAGTACTCAAAACTCATTTGGATGCCGCCTCAAAAGCCGCGCGGCTTGAGAGACCTTGAAAGACGCGGCTTGAAAGACGGCCTCAAAACGGAAAAAAGCCGCGGCCGCGCCGGAAGTGCGGCCAAGCCGCGCGGCCCGGCCGCATTCTAATTTTTGCGGCCGAAAAAGCCGCGCGGCCCGGCCGATTGCCATGTCTGGTATTTTGCAAAATTCTTCATTAATGGTGGCAATAGCGCACATTTTGTTATGGGGTTTGCTTATATTTTATTTTGGTCATTAATATCA